ATACATATTGATGATATTTAAACAATTTGCTACCAATGTACTTATTCAATAGGAAGTATCCAAAGGTATCCAAATTTTCTAGTCCAATTGCTATCAATTTTGCGATATCCATACCTCCCAAAACGATACCAAATAGGTATCCATATTCGTGAGGACAATGCAATACAATTTTCATTAGATCGGAGTTCTCCCTTTCTCTAGCTTCCAGACGAAACGTAGAATAGGAAAAGCCACGAGATCGTACTGTCGGAAGGAGGAGGGGCTCCCACGAGGTGATTTCCCTTTCAATCGAGTCGCCCTTCGCCGTTCTCGCGCGATCAGAAAATTCCAGATCCGGAATTGCACAAATGTTAGGCTGCTGCTGGCTGTCCGGTAATACTCGAGCGGCTTTGGCGAAATGGAGAATCGAACGGGGGGAACGACGGAACGCCTCGCGGCCCGGAAGGGAGAGGGCGAACCACCCCCCTTTTTGGTATACCGGCTGCTCCGGGGGTCCCGGTTCAAACGTTCCGGTAAATAGAGGGCATCCGTTGGACGATCAAAGCGCGGCCGTGTAATTACGTTCGGTGAACGCGACGTAGGTGTGCGGGGAATGCGCCTCTCGGTTCTGCTCGCGCGACGTCAGCCTGAATTTTAAGTTTCACCTCGACCCGCGCTGATTTACGTACCGGCGCGTTGCGATATCGAACGCTGGAATGGTAAATATTATAATGATCGACTGAGCGAGCTTGTCGCTCCGGTATCATGGTGCCAGGGGCTCCGTTTATTTATTTGCGTGTACTTTTTATGTGTACATTGTTGCGTCAGTTCTAGAGGACGATACTGCAATTTAATTGGAAAATTTGCAGAGGTTGCTACACTTTGGAACTAAGAAAGGAGCTCTGATAAACACGAGTTCTGTGATTATTTAATTTTGTAGACTGTTGCGTCAGCTTTAGAAGATGGTACTACAACGTAATTAGAAAATTTGCAGAGCTATTTACACAGGTCTGTGACTATTTATTTTCGTGGATCGTTGTGTTAACTTTAGAGAATGGTACTGTAATGTAATAAGAAAATTTGTAGAAATGTCTGTAGTTTAAAACTGACGGAGTAGCTCTAGTAAATATGGAGCCTGTGACTATTTGTTTTCTAGATACAGTAATTTTTGTTCTCGTGGTTCAACTTGTTCTGCTTCCTGTCGTCGTTGATCCGAGTGCTATCTTGGATTGGATGATACAATTTGGTAGTTGCAGGTCTTGCCCTGGGCTTGTTGACAGTGAATGAAACGATCGCAATATCGTATCCACTGCTCTCTATAATCACGTTGTCTGACCGAGGCGGTATAACTACAGGGGGGCAACAGCTACAAAGAATGATGTACATTGAGTGTCATGAAAGGTTAGTAGGTATCGTTAAGAATAAGTTTTTGGAATTCCGTAGATTTTAATATAGTACCTGAATAACACTTTACGACAAACCTTCCGCTTTTAATTGCAACGGTGCACTCTGCAAGATCATTACTATGACGCTGATTGTAATTGGTTCGCGTATTCGCGCAATGATAACGTTCTAGAAACAAGGCTGATAGCGGCTAAGGACGAACATCGACGATTAAAACGATGGTCACAATGGGCAATTATGTGGCGCGAAGTTCTCCTTCAACTTGTCTCTTTAGTTGCGAACTTTCTCAAGCTTGAGCTCACTTTGAAAGCACTTTTTCACCGCGAAACTCGAGTTCCGTCGTTCATTCAGTATGAATATTTAAAATAAAAAGTTAGATTACTCGCTGTCCGTCGTGAAATCTGGGTCAGACGGACGTGATGCATTAATAACGTTACAGAATATGATAATATCCGAGCGCGGTCGTTCGTCTGTGAAAAAAAAAGAAACATCGAGGAGAAATAACGTTGACTATGACGCAAAAAAATCATTGGGTGCTAAGGTTTTTCCGTAACCTGAGACTTTCAAGCTACTTAACCTACAGGGTTACGAGGTTTACAAGGAAACAGCTTCACAGAGAAAAAGCAATTATAAACTTGGAATTCGCGATCGCGTTGAAATTTCATTAATATTGAAATTTTAATATAACCATTAATATCTGAATCTACCCGATGAAATTCACGTTCATCTATTAAATTTTGAATTTGACTATAAATACGGTGAATCAAAAGTGTAATTTAAATGGAACGATTAAAAATTTAATTAAAACATGACAGGTAGAATTTAAATTTAAACTTGAATTGAAGTTCATATTCAGTTCAAGGGAAATTAAAATTCTTGTTACGTGATCGGTTAACTGTGTTAGATTTATACACGGAAATCGTTGTGGTATAAATATCTGTCGCGTGTTATGTCCTCGCGGTCTGGTTTGCTCCCGGAACGGACTCGGAACCGGAAACAAAGGCTCGAATGAAATTTAAAATATCGATCCTTCTCGAAGAAGGAAGTGAACCGATCGTACAGCGCGTTACACATCGATCGGGACAGTATGTGTCTCTGCGGGGAAAACCGGTCGGGAGAATGTAGCTTCATAATCTATGTATACATGGACACGCACGCGCGGCATGCGAATAACCGCTGTAACGAGGTCGTAATCCAAATTGTGCCGCTAGATACCATTAGTAAAACTTTACGTTTACTTTCGAATGTCACTTGGAAACCCAAGTCTCATTTTCGAACATCTAGCTATCAGCAACTGCAATCTGTTCGATTGAATCTGTCATGTTTGAAGACTTTAATTAGCACTCTTGAAGATGATAGGGATCAGAAGATTTCATACGTTTCCTACAATCATTCATCAGAAGTCACATCTTTCGAGTGGCAGGATGTGATGACAGGTGTTGAACTGAGAACAGGAAGTCGCCAGTTCAGCAATTGTCTACTTGGTGTGCGAACACTATCATTTTGAAAGTTTAGGATCAGTACCTTGTTTGGAATTTTGTTTGAAATTCTTAATATAAAAAGAAAGTAATGTTTGCTATTTTTGTTATCCAAACTCTTAGCACCTTAAGACGACTCTATGTACTCTAATTGGGGGACTTAAGAGCATTGAAGCTTATTAAATTGAGACACATATTAACCTGAGAATAGGAAATCGCAGCTCATTACAGACTCCTCTCGATTATTGTCTCGAAATCGGATCCGCGTTGGGACAATAATCCTATAGAGAGAAATGCTCCAGACCCTCGAAAGTCTGTGCTTGACAGGTTCCACGCCCCTGGTGGAGATGACGCCTGGACAATAATCGTGTAGAACAAGCCAGACGATAATCGAGAGGAGCCTGTAGTTGTCTACATGATATTTGAACACTATTATCTTAAATGTTCAGGTCAGTACCTTCCCTAGAATTCTATTTCAAATACCTAACAGTTAAAGGTAGTTACTTTGACTACCTTTTTCATCCAAATTACTCGAGTATATCAAAGCGGTTCTATGTACCTTAACTGGGGTACTTAAGAGGGTTGAAGCTTGTGAAAGCCTCGACAATTTTCTCCGTTACATCGAAATTATTTAAATTGCTCGGCTATTTCAGGAGATTCGCATGAACGGTAAACGGGTATCAAGGGGGTTACAATTCGCCAAAGCTTCGAGAATGGGAGTGACGCACGCATCGGGGGTAAAAATGCCGACATTATTACGTAAGGAACGCGAGAGAGACTCGGACGGCCGATTACGTGGGCAACCTGAACGGGCAATGTGTGCGCGCCGATGGAAAACGACACGGGCGAGCGTGCAATATGCATCGTGTAACATCGAATACGTGCCCGTTCGGGCGTAACGCTCCGCGAGAACGTTTTATACGCGTTCATATCAGGGCGGGAGTATGGGTTTCGAAGGTACTTCAAGTACGTACAATTTACATCGTACCTAGCCACTGAAAGCAGTAATTGGCTCCGAGACAAGCGGTGGTCGTCGCTTTCTTGAAAAATCCGGGCGAGCTGCTCAAAACACGACCGATGGTGGTCGTTTGGTAGTGGAATAATAGACCTCGTGAACCGTAATTTTTAAGAGGGATGGTAATGGTTCGGTTAGAAATTCGAATTGGCCCTTGTTTCCAGACTTTCAATTTGAATTTTAAAAAAGAGTCACAGTGTGAATTTCGATATTACCATTGATATTTGAATTTAAATGCAACTTTAACTATCAGAATTTGAATATAATTTTTCATATGGCTGTTAGAAGGTGACCTTCGTAACCTTGTATAGGTACATACATGATTCTGAATATGATCGGTAGTAATCCTTTGGTGGCGGAGTAATAGTCTTCGTGAACCGTAATTTTTAGGAGAGATGGTAATGGTTCGGTTAGAAATTCGAGTTGGCCCTTGTTTCCAGACTTTCAATTTGAATTTTAAAAAAGAGTCACAGTCTGAATTTCGATATTACCATTGATATTTGAATTTAAATGCAACTTTAACTATCAGAATTTGAATATAATTTTTCATATGGCTGTTAGAAGGTGACCTTCATAACTCTATACAGGCACATACATAATTCAGAATATGATCGGTGGTAGTCCTTTGGTAGCGGAGTAATAGTTCTCGTGGACCATAATTTTTGTGATCTTGTGCATTACCTCGGAAGGATGGTAACGGTTTGGTTAGAAATTCCAATTTGCCAGTGTTTCCAGAATTTCAATGTGAATTTAAATAAATGTTCCTGACTGAATTTCGATATGACCATAGATATTTAAATTTCAACTACCATACTGTGAACCTACATTTTTACGTGGTTGTGAGAATGTAACATCAATGATCTTCTATAGAGGTACATAAACGATTCAATTATCTAGAACTGCATTGATTTATATTATTCAACAATTTTTCAGGAGCCTTACAAGATTCTTCCGTCAATTATTCCTAATTAATCTTAACATCACTTAGTCATAACTTAAAAAGAATCTTCGTGTATATCAGCGACTTACAAGAAATCATTAAGCGGTGCAAATATAAATACTTAAAGTAAATAAATAATTTAATTAAATAGATAACAGTTGAAGCATTCACCGTCTCTGTCGCTTCATGTTTCATTTTCATCGTCCATTTCTACCATCGGTATCTCTGTAGGCGGCTCGGTCGGCCATTTTCCTACGGTTGCTGCGGGATCGATAGTGGACGGTGGATCGGTGATAACGATCGGTCCAAGTGGCTCTACCGTTTGCTCTTCTTCTTTCGTGGTATCCTTGTCCTTATCCTCTAGATTCTGAGAATCTTCAACCACTTGCGGTTTTATTAGTATCATTTGCGGTTTCGTGTCCAATTCGGTTGAATCTAGCATCGGTGGCATTAGGTCCGTGGACGGGACCATAGTTTTAATTTGACACTGACGTCCCATGTAGCCCAGAGGGCAGACACACCTGCAATCAGGTTTAATTAGTAACCGTATTAAATCAAGAGACAGTATCTGTATCAAAGCTGATAGTTCAAGGTTTTACCTGTAATCGCCATCTTCCTTCGTCATGCTGATGCAAGTCGCGTTGTTGCGACAGGTATCCGGGTGCTCCTCGCAGTAGGTCAGTTTTTCGTTGCACAGATCACCCGCCCATCCAGGCTCGCAGCGACACTCCCATGGCCGTTTGCAGGACCCGTGAACGCATCCTGGATAAGGGACACATTCGGTACAGTTCGGACCCGTCCAACCTACGCGACACCAACACGTGCCTGGACGTCGGCAGGTTCCGTGTTCTCGGCTGCACCCTTTCGAGCAAAGCGCTACACGAAACAAGAACAAATTGAAATTAGTGGTCTTGTATAGTACAATAATTTTTTTACCTTCTACCTAATGCAATAAGGTATATTATATGTTCAGCGGAATTTTATTTGAATTCGTAAACATGGCAAACAGAAGGAGCTTACGTGTCTGGCAAAGTAAACCAGTCCACCCAGGATCGCAGCGACATTCGAGTGGTCCTTTACAAGTCCCATGCAGACACCCTGGGAGAACGGCGCACTGTTTGCACTTTGATCCTTGCCAACCCAGTCGACACCTGTGAAACATTAATCGCACAATTAGACGAACGAATATTCAAAGCTCTACTGTAAATTCATTCTTTAGAGACCTACGCGTACCGTTCCATTAATAATTGGAGGCACATTACCACGTGGATCTCCACTGAATTATCCACAAATTCAACTATCTTCTAACTATCTCATTGTGTAACAAATTACAACTGAAAACAGTACTATCCCACCATCAACACTTACCAAAAAGTTAATAGACACTTTAGGTAACCTGTCCTCAATCACCCTTCTCGAATTTTCAAAGTTTCTTTATCCCAAAACAAAACCAACCCCAAACAAATGATATTTCTACGACTATGTCACAAGACATTGCCGTATAATTCCCCAACATCTTAGCTCTCGAACTATCGGTCTTCTAACTAGACGTGCAAGAACGTTCATCGGAACGGTTCTCACTATTTCCATCGGAAATCGATTGAACGATATCTCGCGCGGTTGCCTGGCCAGCGGAAAAGCGACGTTTTATGGGGAGGAGGGATGAACACCATCCACGCCCGCGTGCGAAATTGCCGGGTCTGGGAACGTTAATGGAACGTAGGGTCGAGCAAACGGGCGGGTTTCATTGCTTCGATTCGCCGCTACCGGGACTGATAACCGCTCATTACACCGCCATTACGGTGCGCGGGCTCTTTACCTGCACTCGCCGGGCTTCTCGCAGTATCCCTGGCTGGCCAGACAATCGGTCCCGCAAATCGGCTCCGAGCAGAACATGCCTTTCCAGCCCGGGTCGCAGGAACACTCGAAGCTCACGTTACAGCTGAAAGTGAAAATCGTTCGACGTCAGTGCCAGCCGCCGTTGGGATGGAATTACTCTCATTGATCGACATACACGAGAGCGGACCGCGGATCGGGGGTTCGTGTTACGGGGAAATTAGGCTTGCGACCAATGTCCAAAGTGAAATCGGTGTCCGATTCGCAGGTCTGTTTGACATGTTTTTCAAGATCGGTACGGATTAAACGGACTGTGTTCCGGTTCGTTAGCGGCGACGATTCTGCGGTCTTTGGGCGGATATCGTATCGCGTAACGCGGAAACTTTTGTTGTCTATGAAGTGTATTGCTGAGTTAATACAGTGGACTCTAATTATATTGCCATGGTTGGGGCTGTAGGGGAGTAAAATGGCAATAAGTTCAGAGCCCCCTCCATGATAAGTTCTTTCGTCATAGCCTCAGCGGCTGCGCAAAAGCTGGATCGTGCTGGTGCCCCAGCGTACGCAATGTGGTGGGAGAGCGAGTTTGTGTGCTCGGAAGTACGTGTGAAGGGAAAGTGCCTCGCGTGGCAATGTGTTTAGTGGCAATATAGTTAGAGTCCACTGTACACCGACGTGCAAACTCGGCTTCCGCTAGGGGAAAATGTGAGGTAGCGAAGGGCCTCCTATCATTTAGTTTTGGGAGTTACTGAAATTTATGCCACATTAATATTCGGTTTAACATTTATTTCAGTACATGAAATAAATTTAGCAAGTGGTAGGAGACTTTTCTTCTACGCTGCTTTTTTCCCTAGCGGAAACCGAGTTTGCTCGTGAGGGTACATAAATATAATATATGGGAATTTTTGGTAAAGACAGCAGAGGATATATAAACGTCATGTATGGGAATTTTTTGTGAACAGAGCAGAGGATGTATAAATATAATATGTATATGGGAATTCTGGGTGAAGAGTGCTTTTGGACTTTGGCGAAGACTTTAAGTGGGATTGGATGTTGGCAAAGGTGTTAGGAGAGATTTGACGTTGGGGGAGGTGTTAACAGGAACACAGTGGAACTTTTTAGGAATATTATATTATGGTCCGTCCAACAAGACGAGTCAGTAAAAATAACAAAAACATTCGTGTACTAAGCCCAACTATTGGCTGGCAACTGTTTTTGTCCCTTCCCCACCTAACTGGTCATTAACTTTATTTGATTATAGTTACTGACTCGACTCGTTGGATGAGGAAATGAATAAATTAACACGTTCTCTTCCAGAAGTTACATATGAGATTGACTCCAGAAAAATTATCAATGAAAGTTATTTTAAATGTAAAATTGTCACTAAAATTTGAAAGAATTAAAATAAGTGAAGGTAGTCACTTTGGCCTGTGAATCGGATCATATGTACGTGTGACGCTCCAATTTCTGAGTCAAGCATACTTTATGGGATAAATGAATGTGTTTTGCAATGTTCACCTGTATTTCATGTTATTCATTACTTCCGTTTTATGTCTTTTTAATACCCGATCAAGGAGGTAACTCAAGAGAATGGTGGAGGTATAGAGTGGTCTGTGACGAAAGTTTTCGAAGCAATATGGTGTTAGCAAACGTGTCGAATGTAGTCTAACATAATTCTTATGCTACAATATTTTGGTCATGAAAAAAATGTTGCTACAATATCCAGATGAAACCAATTATACGCTGTAATGATGTGTAATAATTTCCATTGTCGTTCTATAGTTTGGAGCATCCTTTAGACCCTAAAGTGGAGGGTCTAGGAGATTTCCTTTTTAACAGACTTACTTTTTATCTTAAAATAAACCTAGACAATTATTTCTCGATGCGTAACACTTTCAATAAAATAAGCTAATCTGCATAGAAAATAATTATTTACCTCGAGAAAGAATGGTTAATAAAAAGATGTTGTAAATGAAAACAAGATGTCTTAATCTTTCGAGCGACAGTATACGTACACTTCCTTTTCTTAACCACTGTCTGTTCACCAAAGCTTGTTTCAGTTTTTCAACAAGGTCTACCATCCCGTAAGTACAGTCTACACCGCGCATTTCACCAAGAATCCGTGTATCGGTTACTTTGCTCGACGTGTAATACGGCTGATTGGCTCGTCGATCAATCAACGAGACGATTCCGTTTACGGTTCTCTCTGTCCTTTCTTTTAACCAACATGAACGTAAAAAAAGAAAAGATAGAAAGGACAACGAAATGACAAGTTACCTGCCATGCTGACATCCCGGCAGAGCCACACACTTGTCGCAGAGCTCGCCATAGAAGCCCAATTTGCAGCGACATTCGCCGGGTCGACGGCAGTAACCCTGAAGAGGGTCGCAGCCCTTCCGACAGATTGGCACGTCGCACAAATCGCCGGTCCATCCTGCGTGCGAAGGAAAAAGAAAAAAAGAAAAAAATGAAACCTTCGCGCGAGGCATACAAAGTGGAATGTCCGTGTATCATTAACTTCTTATTGTGTATTTCGAGAGTATTTTTCGGTTCGTTTTTCTTACCCGGCAAGCATTTCACTTCACCGGCTTCGTCGCAGACGTAGTGCGAGTTCGGATGCTGGGAGGCTGGTATCTCGCACGCTTGTTTCTTCCATTTTGGAACATACCTGAACGTAAGAGTGTTCGTCGATTATTTTCGTGGAGAGATAAATTTTCGAGATTGTACTGTTAATGATTATTGGCATAAGTGGGAAATGGATTTAGTTAATTGGAGAATAATGCGAGATTGAAACACGCGGAATAGTGGAACGGACGGTAATTGGATAATACGGGAAACAATGTTCGAGTAACCTAACAATCAAGGTAATTGCGTTGATCGTGCGATAGTGGAATTTGTTAAGATAATTATACAAAGTGATTCTGAACTGCCATAGAATTTGCAGATGTATTTTTTAGACATAGACAGTAAAATGATATACGTACTGGTGAATACTGGTTCCAGAACCAGTTACGTTTTATAGTGATCGATGCTTCGAAAATGATGTAGGAAGTGAGCTCAACGAGTTTTTATGTCTTTTGAAGCTCGTAGAATGTTTCATGTCAATACAAGATGTTTCAAAAGTGTTCTGACTATACAAAGCACATGTGATATTATAAAAGATCGGTAGAGAATATGTAAACGCGTTAAAGAATTAATTATACGGTATATTGAAGAAGAAATTTCTAACGGATGCTGAAGTGAAAAATTTTTAGACTCACGAAGCAAAGGACTTCGTTATACATTATTCAAACGATGTCAAATAACACGACGTGGAAAAGTAATTCTCTTTACAGTACCTCTAATTATATATATAAAAAACAGGTCTTGTAATCAATTACAATTAGCAAAGTAACACTTCCTTGTCACTTAATATGAAAGAACTTCCATAGAATAGTGTCGAAATTACAACTTATGAAAACTTTCAAAACAGCAGTTCAAATACCTCCCCCCCAAAGTACTACCCACAAATTTCAACCCACAATAATATTCAAAACAGCAGTTCAAATACCAGAAACATTTTTTATTGTAAATTATAATCAGCAAGGTAATACTTTCTATCACTCACCATAACAAAATTTCCCCCCCCAAAAAGTATTACCCACAAATTTCAACCCACAAGAATGTTCAAAACAGCAGTTCAAATACCAGAAACATTTTTTATTGTAAATTATAATCAGCAAGGTAACACTTTCTATCAGCCACCATAATAAAATTTGCCCCCCCAAAAAGTACTACCCACAAATTTCAACCCACAAGAATGTTCAAAACAGCAGTTCAAATACCACAAACATTACACTCTGCAACGAACCCACGAATGGAAAAACACCCGAGTCTCAGCTCACGTCTCAGCCGTAGGAAAGTGACCAAAGTTCGAACGAAATAAAACGATCGGAGAAATAATAAGAATTGCAATTGGTACCTGGGTCCAGTCGCGAATCCAAAGGGCAGAGCACTGAGTCCAAGGACAGTCGTCACGCCGACGGAAAGGCCATTGTTCAACGTGCCCAGCTCACCGGGACCAATTAGGAGGCTGAGACAGGCGACTAGCAGTATCATCTTTGCTTGACTACCGAGTCAAGACTGAGGACGACCGCGTCCAAGGCGAAGCCTTGGATAACGGGACCTTGTTCGAGGTCACGGCACACTTTTTCGTCCGCGACGATCGTGTTGGTGGTGGCGAGCGTGAACACGCGTGTGTGCATGCGCCTGGCACAGTCGGGGCTCTCCCCGTTGGCGTTCTGTTTTTTCTTTTTTTTTTTGGTCGACACACGACGAGTTTATTATTCGCTCGGGAAAGTTCAATGCACCTCTCGGTGGAGGTGCTGTTCTTCGTGTCGCCTCGCGCGCGTACGTCTGCGGGAAAGGAAATGGACGTTCCTGGAAGTTTCTCGGGAGGATAATACGTAAGCTTCTTTCTTTGCGATGGAATTCGGGAGAAGTCCCCGGGGCGGGTTCGGTTCATTGGCTCTACCTGGTCTCGCCGATCGAATAACAGTTCTTTGGTTCTAATTTTGGTCTAGACGTAATTGGGCGGATAGTACTGGACAAATGTAACTGAGATGAATGCACGTCGGATTATAGGATTGATTCAGGGAGTTTCATTTTGGTGATCGATGAGGCAGCGTGGGAATTATTCGTGTGATTTAGTAGAACGAAGTATTATTATGATCCCCGTGAGGTCCCTTTGATCAGGCTTATTTTAATTGGATTTTAGATGTTCTGTGATTATATGGTCTATTAGGGGATGTGGATTATATGTATTAAACGAGGGCAGAAGTTTGTTAGGTATAATTTGGTGTGTTCTATTGTTATTCGTTTTGTCTTTTGGAACATTTTATGGTATACAATAGGATTTTTGAGACATATTTTCATACGGAATAATAGGCATTATGTCTCGAAGTAAACTTAAATGAGGACATTAATCATTAAAATGAAATATTATTGTACACCGTAATGTTGAGTCTTACCTGCATTCGTAGTTGTATCCATCTCTGGATTGAACGAATAAGACGAACCGTTTGAATCCAAATACTCGACCAATAAATAAAACATTACGTTTGATTTTATATCTGTACCGTGACAATAAATTTCACACAAATACAAACGAGTTATTTAAGAAAAAAAAGAATTTCTAAATTCAAATTTGTAACGTGATACAAAACTTGATTTCCAGAGAAACTTGTTTGTGTCCTGTTACAAAGAAATATCCTCGAGTATAGATCCAAAGGATTCCTGTGTAATGTCCAATCCTCTCATAATCTGGTGTAAATCCATTCGATATGGGAAGACAGTCGGTAGACCCTTTCGCAATTGAATGGAAAGTCCTAGGGAACCCTCGTCATTCACTTTTATTCGTCGACCAGGACGTGGATCCTCGACAAAAGAGGGATTTAAAACGCTGACAATATGGGGGATCAAATGTAAAACGCTCATACTACGCGTTTTCTGACGGGAAAAATAAGGTAACGAGAGGATTCTTTTTTAGGCTAGTATCGTTATGTCGACAAGAGACATTGTTATCAGACCTATTTTATTTATCTTTTAAAAACTATGTACAAGCTTCAGAGCTACTATTTACAAATAAATACAATGGTTGGACACCGTCGTGGGCGTCGTTCTTGTTTCTCGGTGATAGGAACTCTTTTACAGTCTGTTCGTTGCGCGTTTGAGCAAGAAGTTAATTACTATTCTTATTACGTATAAAAATATCGTTCGTGAATCTGTACATTTCCTGCTTGCATGAGTGACGCGACTATTATTTATAATCTCTAGCGAGGTTCTTTTGTACATTCCTTCGGTTAAACATTGCTCCCATCTCCTCGATTCGCTTACATGCTTCGAAAACTATTTTACATCGTATTTAACCTACTTACACCTGTCAGAAAATTTACACTGTGTTGTCGAATCGATCACTTCGAAAATGTCACAAGAACGAAGGACTTAATTGTGGTGGAAACATATGATGTTCTAAAATCAATCGCTTCATTTCAAATAGTGACATGCCTTTTTTTTCACAAGGCATAATATAAGTTCATATAAAGATGAACCTTATTTCATCTTCATGCAGAATTCTCTGATATAAACTCCATAAGAACTTATTTTATTTTTGAATAGTAAATCTACCAGTTTGGTTAAGTGACAGGAATAAGATCACCAATTTTGTATCACCCATATAAGCATATAGTCCTCCAAAATACTTGTGATCTTTTCCAAGTGACGAATTCAGTCATTTATACACCGATAGTGACAACGATCCTTCCTCATCGTTGCCTCAGTCCCTCAGAACGATTAGCCCATTAGAGCTAAGGGATCCCTGAGATAGTCATCATCATCGACGATACAAAACCAGTATCATCTATCAAACTTCCTCCACCTCGATGTCTTTACTCTTCCTGCAGACCTTGTACATACCAACAACGACTACCAAAACGGCGGCGGAGACGGACGCGGCAAAAATGTCCCAGGGGTAGAGATCAGGTAGTAAACTGGTCGCCATCTTCTCAGCCTGAACGGAACTGGGCCTAGTGTCCACTTCAATGGGAAAACTTCCAGGTCCGTCGTTCGAGGCGATTCTGACCAGGTATTTAGTACCAGGGAGCAAGGAGATCTGCGCAGAATTCGAGTCGGCCACTTGGTTTCCCATCAGACCGCCCGACTCTGGCTCCCAGGACACCACATAGGACTCCTTGTTTCCTGATTGATCCTTCTCCACTCTGTCGTTGTACGCGCTGCTCGTAGATGGAGTATTGTCAGCTGACAATGACTCATCGCCCCGATCGTCCTTTCTCCTGAAGAAGAATCTCCGGAATATTTCTTCAGAAATTTGAGAGTCCTCTTGACTCCTCCATTCGGCTAGGACCTTTTCTCCATACTTCTCCAGGAAGAACTGTCTTACACGGTTGTTGAACCTGACCTGCTCCAGAGATCTCTGCTTCTGCAACTGATTCTGAACGTCCGTCCAGGAGATCGTCGCTTCGTACAGAGGACCTTTCTTCAGTGAGTCCAGCTTTGGCACCCATTCCTGCCAACTGTAATGTCTCACTCCATCCTCCACGGCGACGATGATCCAGGTGTCTGGCCTCAAGTTTGGCACTCTGTCACCTGGATAGTATCCATCCACCCTCCACTGCTTGTACAGTTTGCGCATCACCACTGCAACGTCGAATTTGTCCAGGTTGATGGGCGACTTCTTGGGCGCTGGCAGCATCGATGGTAAATACTTCTCCTCCACCCGGGTCTTACGGAAGATGCAGGCTGTCTGGCAGGCTGGGCACTGGAGAATGAATCTTACGTTAGTATTGTTCGAAGAATCGCATCGAGACAATTTAAATCTTTTCTTTGGGCATTCTTTTTGAAAAAGGGAGGCTTGCAACGAGGGTTTATTTCATTTATATTGTTTACTCTATATTCATCGGATGTTTATTATAATACAATTTCGCTTCCTTCCAGTTGAAAATGAGAAGAATCGAAGATTTCGGTCCTGAATTATCTGTTCTGGCATCGGTCCGTTCGAACGGCGCATTAGAGGCGCATAATTAACGATCTCTCTAAAAGAGACATTCCGTTATCGAACAAAAATCGAAAGGAGCCCGTAGAGAACGCTCCCTGAAGCTTCTATCCAAACATTCACCGTAACCTGGTAGCTCCCCAAATATTTGAAAAAGATTCCTATCTCGGTCGGTCGATACATTGAGAGTCTAAACTTCGGAACGTCCTCTCTTGTAGCGAAGTAGGCTCGGCCTTCCGTGAAAATCGACAGGTAGCCGTTTCTCAGGATTTTCTCTTGGATCCTCGGTGGTCGGGACTCCCTTTTATCGGAGGACCCTTCTTTCTTCGCCGCGGGCGTACAACGATTACCCCTCCCCCGTTCTTCGCCCCTAACTTTGAGAGTTTGGAAGTTAAGGGATTTTTCTCGCGCTTCATCGATTCCAATTTTCCGCCGGTTCGATACGCCGCGAGGATCAGACACGGTGAAGGTTAACTCGGTTTACCTGAATGAATAGGGTCTCGAAACCGAGAGAAATCGGCTCGAGTTTGTGTTACAACAATTACAGGTGTATATTGCAGCCCCTACTTCTTGAATTCGATTTGGAACAAGGTGAACGAAAACGGTGTTGTTACTAGTCTTCAATATAAGTACGAAAAACGTTTTTCATTAGAAGTTACTGTACAATATCTTGTTTTGAAACAAAACTGAACACATTCTACCTCGACAATCGATCCTAAATAAAAATCATTGTCAAATTCTACAATCTCACGAATTGTTTAACAACAGAGTACATTAATCAATATGATATATTTTATCAGTACGTCAGGTTTTATATCTATACTCTTACAACCGATTTCTCACAAACACAAACAAGTCACTGAAGAAACTAAAAATGAATCTATGTCTCTATAGACAAACATTCATACAAATTACAATGAACTTTATCTCAGGAACTGGCATACTTTTTCTCCCCTTAAACAAACCGAAATACCGCCAACTTTTCACCCCAAAGATCCTACATCCCCGATAAAACCGAGTCGACCTCTATCAATGAACCAAAAACGTTGCTCCGAGCGAACCACAAATTTCCTTACGACCCGAGTGCTCCATGTTTCCCGTGTTTCCCTTGCCCCGTACAAGCCGGCTCAAAGAGGGCAGAGGGGGGCCCGGGGATTCCCTCGTGCCACAGCGCGCTTCCCCTAATCCAAAAAGCCCGGTTCACCCGTAAATTTACTTACATGTAGATACTGGTCGCCCTCGCAAACGGTCCTGGTCTTCTCCCACCGGTTCTCGAAGGCCTCGCAGTACTGCCAGCACTGTAACACAGGAGAAGAAAAAAAAATACAGATGAAAGAACCGAGAGCGTGGCCAGAGGGAGGGTCGATCTCTCTCTCTCTGTCTCTCCCTTTCACACACACAAACACACAGAACGTTGAACAAAAAGCTCTTGCACGCACACGGGATCCACGGAGTAAAAAGGACGATGGTACCACGTCGGCGGTTGGGTGGAGGGGGAGGGGTTAGAGGACGAAGAAGAGGGAACGCGACGCGGCCCGTGGAACGCGAGGAGGGAAAGGGAGAATAAGAACCATCGGGGCCGGGACCGTTGAATCGAGCGATTTAAGCGGCTATGAGGAGGAAGAGGACCTAGGGAGGGAAAAAGGGTGAAGGCCAGAAAGAGGAGAAAAAGAAGGGAACGGACAGGGAAGAGAGATGAAGTGAAAGAGAGAAAGAAAGATAGATAGAAGAAGTGGGAGGGGGCCGAATTAGCTCCAACCTGTTTCAGGCATAACAGGCACCGTCGTTGTTGTCTTCATATTTATTGGGGTACCGTCTCTCGTGGAGCCCTGTTTCTAGATTCTTTTTTCTTCCCTTCTCTTAGAGACCTTCCCCCTCCTCCCCTTCCCCTCCATCTTCTTTCTCGATTATCCTTCATCACGGCGCGTTCCTTCTAAGCCCGGCTGCTTCGTAGAAACGCCGTAGGTCCCTTCTTTCGCGCTAATGACGTCTCCAAAAAAGCAACATCAGCGTCTAACAGCTTCGCGATAATTTCCCCCTCCCCCCCTTTTTCCCATAGCCAACCGAGACTTCCCTTTTTCCGACGGTTTTTAGGCGGGCCGCGTTGAGTGGACTTAGAAAGGGAAACACCACGTATGAAAATGTTTTCTTTTAACATAGAGGGTGCTTCATAAATTCGCGGATATAATTCAGCCGGAAATTTATGCACTGAATGAGAGAAAAATGTTAAATAAACCTGGAACAATCAAAGTGCAGTAGGTTTTTCTATATTGCGGAAGAGTGAGTTCGCTGAAGTTTCATTTATGGATTGAATTTATAGGAAGATTGGAATAGATATTGATCACGAAAAAGATTCAGGGTAGACAATTTTTTCGACATCAATCTTAAACGAACCGTTGTGCATATTGAAATACGACATAGATACTGTATGCATTTTTCCTTTAATATTTAATGAAATATATTATTGCATTTATTCTGCGAAGTATTAACGTGCATACACGAGCCGGTCTGCATTTCATACTAATCGTTTCTTGCACATAACGTGACTGGTTTCCCTAAGTGCACCTTGACGAGAGAAAATTATTAAGTATATTATTTCCAAATGTACAATCTCGAAGAACTACTTCTTTTACAAATCTTCTTCTATGCAGACTGTTTAACATAATTGAAGTACAATTTGATTTAAAATATCAACACGATTCGACGAAAATCTATCGCAATATCTACAAAATAAAAAACTTCCTTCTGCAATCATTTAATGTACCGAACAAAGACTGTCTCCTTTCGATAACCCACATTCCCGAGATTATAAGCCAGTGGATCTCTGTGTCAGTGCTCCGAATGAAGGAGGTCCAGGACGATCGCGAGCCCCTTTTATCCAGTTTATTTCACTTTGCGACAGCTCGGCCATTGATTTCCCGAGTACGAGGGGGACGAAGCCGTTTTTACGACCCTTCGCCGATCGTAACTCGATAACGGTACGATCATCGTCGCCCTCGATGAAATTTGATGGAACGACCGAAACGCCGCCGTGCCGTCGACGTCCGTTTCCGAATGATGCCCCCCGATCGAATCACCGGGAGCCGTTGATTGCGATCGCCGGGCACGATTACGATTAAACACACGAGAAACGATCGTTTTTCAGACATAATTGAGCGGTACCGTGGGTCGACTCCTTCATCGATTTCGATGTTTTCTAGGAAAATAATGCTTAATGGCCGCTCGTAGAGCGCTTATCGTTCGTCCATGATCGTTTTGATGGTGTACTCTGAACCTTAACAGGTGCTTTGGAATTTTTCTTTTACGAGCCTTTACACTTTGAGAACCGTGTAGCGGCGTCATGTTACGTTCGTTCGTTATGTAAGTACATGCGGTGTTACGATTATGCCACGATTACGATATCGTCGATGAATATTCTTGAACTATTTTGTACATGTTCTTTCGATATTTGATCATTAGATTTTTCATTGAAGAACAATTTACGTTGTACAAAGTGACTCAGAAACGTAAAAAATTGATTTCAAATGGAATTTTATGTGACAAATTTTAGATTCATTTGTACAGATAATTTTCAATCATTTTTCGTTATTATGGAGCAAGTTAGTGTGCAATTAAATGGTCAGTTATCTGTACTACTAGATATGAAACACAAAATCCAGCATTTGATGTACAATAAGGCAATACTAACTATCTATGAATGTATCAAGCAATCTATATTTTAAAATTACCAATAAATTTTAGCTGTTGTTGAACTCGAATATTTAAGCCAAAGTATTTTAAAAGCTGCAGCGAAATTTAGCAAAGAGCACTAATCAAAGGAATTTCTTCTTTTCTTCTAAATTACTCTATAGAAATATAAATTCACGTAAACATTTCCAGTACCTGCATACAGTATTTAGCTATACCAATTCCACCACAATAATAAATTAATGTCAGGTGTACCAATAAATCCACTATTTTTCGAATTCCAAAGCGACGTGTTCTAAATTAAAAGTACCGTCTGGATCATGGATCGACTATCTATGTTGTCCAATGCAAGGAAATCACTGTAAACATAAATTAAACAATACCGATTCTTTACTTCCCCAGGAAACGAATACCGATATCGTCAAGAAATAATGAATTACTTATAGCTACACCTCATAGTTATACTCGTAACAAGCTTCCCAGACATTACGTAAAACAAATGCGTACTCCGTAGTAAAGGGGATGCACGAAGCAGAGGCATAGCTTCACGAAACAATTTACCGTGTCTGCTCGACTGCGATCACTCCCCAAGCCACCCCGCGTCGTTTTACGCCCGATTGTTCAAAGGATAATGAAACAATTACGTCCACGAAAAGGGCGGACGGTTCAAAGCGCGGCGAAACGATATTCCACGTCGTGGAATAATCGTCATTATCCGGGGCGGTAACTTCGTCGTCGTTCTCTCCGAACGAAAGGGAAGGGGGGTGTGTTCCCCCTGTCGCGACCTTCGTTAAGCCAGCATCACCTCCGCGACGCGTTCGCCTCCTCGGAGAATCGTTATTCTAATGTGTCCCGGGGTAAACGAGTCTCGAGGACTCCTATTCCCGGGGCATAAATTTGAATGGATCATCATCGTTTGTCTCTCTCTCTCTCTCTATCTCTCCCTTTTCTCGTCCCCTTCTCGATTCTCAGTCTTCGATAATAATCCACGCGGAATGTGTTCACGGCTCACACGAGACGCCTTCCTTCTCTGCTCCACCTACTACCCCGTGGGTGTACGGGGGCGCGCAAGATGGCATCGATTTCCCCCGAAATTAATGGACACCCCCCTTCGTGCACGGCAAATGAGCAACGCCCAGAGCGTGCACACGCGCGCGCTCGTTCGTTCCATGCACGCATTGTGCGTGAGTTAATCGTGATTCCCATCTGTCCATCTGCGACGTGTCTGCCAAGGGTGGCCCCGAGGGTGGGGCCGAGGGGTTGAGGGGGACCACCATGATTTTCCACGGCGCCCCATAAAACCGACATCGGAGATTTATCGCCGGCCCCGGGAACGTCCCTATCCGATTTCCAGACGATCGAATCGTCACCTACTGCCACGGCACACCGAGAGAAATAGCCTGTGTTGGAAAATTCTTCCGAGGAGATGTATTTCCGTGACTACGCGAAAGATCGTTTGTTGGGAACGACCTGGAGGAACATGAAAGCCAGGGATCGAGGAATGTTGATTTTTCCGGGGGGGGGGGGGGAATTTCGAGACGGTACGTGTTGTTCGATGGCACTGTGTGTCAGGGGGGGCTGGGGAAAGAGGGTCAACGTTAAAGTTAGAAGTGTCGCATTGGGTGCACACCGTGGAGCTAGGAAATCTTCGTGAGGAGACGCAGCCGGTTCTCGTTCGGTGGAGGGAGGTGTCGATGGAGGGAAACGTGAGCATACGAAATGGTGAGTTAGAGATGTTCGAGAGAAATATGTTGAGTAGATTCTTGTGAACGTTACTATTATAAAGTATTAGGTCTGAGTACATATGTTACTTTAGGGTTAGTGTAATAAGAATTGGAAGAATTAAATACAGAAAATAGACGACGTTTTATTATTCGAATAAACGGTTACAAGAATTCTTGAAGGAATAGAAGAATTGATAGAAAAAGGAGCTTTAATTACCATGCTGCAAGTAGTCTGCTGTTGCCCCGAGTACCAATCGCAATTCCCATCAACTGTATGCTTCCTGAGACACTGCGATCTGCACTGAGCAGTCCTGATGATCGGGCCAAGGTCGAAACTCGTAACGTAAGCGATGCACCAGGTGAAAAAGACGAACCACGAGATCCCCATGTTCGATAGAAGTTACACTTGTCTTCTTCGATGATTTAAATCCACTCACTGGTTCACTGTTTTTTTCTTTTCAAAGTGCACTGATTTTTCTGATAAAACGCACGAACGTCTATGTGATTGCTTTATAATATAGAGTTCATTTGTGTAAACAATCCGAATGTGAAACGAAACGCGTGGTCGTGGCGACGAGCGGGAACGTGGGATGCGGTACCTCACGAAATTTCGAGCCGACTGCGACCCTTCGGAGGTCGGTACCATCCTTATGTAGCCACGCGCCCCACCATTCCGATTTTAGCTCGCCCCCTACCCCCTAAAGGCAGCGTAGCATCCCTTGTAATTATCCGTGGGCTGGAACCGTCCCTCGGCATATGGTCGACCACGCTGCGTCACCGTCCTTCTGCCCGAATTATTTCTCTGACGAAGAGATGTAGGCCAGACCGCGGAAAGAGTTGGGGGATTTTTCCGTTTCAACGGAGCCTAGATATTGGGCAACTGCGCTATTTACTCCTTCGTTCGCGGTGTGTTAACGATCGGATTTTGGTTATTGAATCAGGGGGGAATTTTGAAAATTGTGAATTGCCTTGAGCGACAAAACTATATTTAACGATTTCACCGTTTACCATTGTGTTTAGAAAGAATAATGGGAAGACCTTGTAATTAGATATTTTAATTCGGTCTTTGGTATTGGAACAATGTGATCTCTTGAGATAATGACAGAATTTTTAACGGTTTTAGAGGAATTATAGGCAGTTTGAGATTTTTTCTATTTTTTGAAAATGGATTATAATAATTTCAGACTGTTTCGAAGTAGGAAGTTATTGAAAGCGATTAAATTCTTCTTTCTTTTTTTTTTATTAGGGCTTGGTTTTGGATTCAAGATATGTAGATTGATTTCTAGGTGTCCCTTTGAGCACGGGGAAGCGACTGGCCAATGGAAGGCCCGAAAAGCAATTTATCAGTTTCTGATTGGTTATTTACATTAATATGGATTTTTGAGTTTAAAAATACTGGTATGTACAATATACTTTTCATTTTAATCTCGTATATTTTCAACACTCACCCATAACTTTGACTGTAAATTTAAAATACAAATCAGTTACCAACTAGTCATTATATTTAGTACACTGCGTGGCATAATTATAAAACCATCCTAAAAATTTCAATTCTTATGTATTATGATTAAAATAAAAACGGATCAAGTATGCTATGTGTAAAATCATGGTGAGAAATAATGTTTCTCCAGAAAAAGATAGATTATATTCCCTAGAAAAAAAGTCGTTCCACGTAGTATTATAGACTGCGGATCTTTATGCAAAGTGAAATTTTGTCAAAGGAATTCAGATAAGAACAGAACTAGGAATATCTTTCTTCCCTTCAATGTCGTATTGCAGTAAGAATAAATTAGAAAACTCGTTGTATCTGATGAAACTTTCATCTTTTATTATACTTCATAAAGCCCTATAGGTTATAAATGCATAAAATCCGCAGTCTAATAATCAACGTTGATCAGATAAATTATCACATAACTTAAATTATAATACCAGACAACCTTTGTTACTATTTTTCACTTCGACAGAATATTTCTTGTACTTTCCAACGGTTACATATTTAATCGTTACGTGCTAGTACATTACGAGAAACTCGAAACGAGAATTCCAATTCTACTGGGAACAATGCTCCGCAATTATCAAAACGGTTCCCCTCCCCCAACGAGCTCGCAAACCTCGCGATTAACGTTGGTCTTAATTTCCTCGGGTATGCTCTGCATACAATCTGTCGTCGCGAATATTATCTCGACGGAGAGGAAATCACCCCTTGCATTACACCCGCGTACTGTTTCACTATAATTATCCACGTGCCGTATGGTCCCCGGCATATGGTCCAAAACGGCGTCTTATGCTTGGACGGAACCACCTTTCCCATCCCTCCTTTTATCCCAAGAGGCAGAGAAGTCGAGAAGGGGGAGGGGAGATTGCTCCGAAATTGACTGGTCCGCGGGACAAATTAAATTTCGTCTTCGGTCGATCGTGAAATCGCGTCGCTTTGTGACGCACCGTTGCTCCCGCGCGCTCCTTCACGTCCCGTCGTAATTTCCGGAGAAAATATGGGAATCGAAGGACAAGATTTCGTCGGTGGTCCCCTTTGAGGCCTTGCCTCGTACGCTCGACACAGCCGAAACGCAATTTAAACCCTTAAAATTCCAATTACGCTTTTTCTACCAGTACATCGTGGACAGCTGATTTAGACGATTTGACGGACTTCGTCTGCCGGACTATCTACCAGGTAAAACCAATTAACTTCTATTTGTGTTTCAAGAATCCTCTTCGATCACTAAACGGCATGAAAAATTAATTATTGTACACCTAAGATAAAAGTATCGAGAAGCATTTTAATACCGAAGAAACATCCTGGATCCAATATCCTCCCTAAAGCTGAACACAAGCAAACAATCCTGCCAGGAAGCTTCATTCTTTCCCGAAAAAAGATTGTTATTAGAATACGCTTCCGGGCTTCGATAATCCCATCGAAAATGGTCTCCCCGGGGGAGGCGAGCTCGGTCTGAAAGGAAGTAGATAATCGTTCCTCGCAACAACGAGGAAAAAGGACCTATTCCCTTCTTGAAAAATCCCCTGGTTCTGTTCAGGGAGAAAATTTGGCCGCAATTAGTCGTCGTCCGCCCAGTCGTCGACGCGCGCGCCTTCCACCCGGACCTGTCCGTCTCATCTTGGGGGCCGATGAAGGAGGATGAGGCGGAAGGTCGTGGAACGCACGGAAGATGGAAGAGGATCCCGTAGAATCGGTGTCGGATGATCGCGATCCGGAGGGGAGGGAGGATACGCATTATCAAACGTCTCGTAGCACGATCCAATACGGTTTTCATCCGGCAGGTACACGATATTCGCTCCACCCACTGAAAAAGAAAGAAAAAACTAAAAAGGAGCAGAACGCCGATGGAAGAGGCGGTGATGGCGCGCGGGGGTTTGCAATGAAGTACAGGCAAACCGATAAAGAACGTTGAGACCAGGGAGGGGTGGAGGAGGAGGAGGAGGATCACGGTGGAAGAAAAGGAGGTGGCGCGTATTCACCGGAAGTCGTCCCCGTGGCTCCCTGGGTGCCCCGCGATACACCGCGTCACAATGCACAGGATGTGTACAAATAAGGGTATTTGTCTAGCAGTCCGATTGTGGGGTGAAATATACGGTGACGTTAAACGGGCCGAGTTCCATCCCCCAGACCCCGGGCGCGCGGCCTCTGTCTGTAGAGCTACGCTCGTTTCAGCTCGCTGGCAATAGAAAAAAGGCCCACGAATAGAGGAGAGAGAGACCATTCATCTAGGCAACGTTTAGGGGTGGCGCTCCGAGAACGACGGATTCGTTCCTTCAATGGAGAGTGACATTTTATTGTGCCCCCGAGGCTTTTCTCACACCTGGACCATCGGAGGGAACGGTTTGACGCGCGACGACGATGTCGCGCTCCCGATGATTTTACTATTCTACGGCTAGCAGAGCCCTGTCGACCCGATCGTGAAATTGCTTTTAATGGGACGATGCTATATGGGCCGTTTCAGGAGAGATCACTGGGCCAGCGAGCGCGATCGAACGCTGCTGTGTTCACGGATGAATTTGGTATGAAGAAATTTTCGTACAGGAGGAAGATGTCTGGGGTAGGACAAAGTGGTAGATGTTGTGGAATAATTTTTCGTCGATTAGGTGAGTCGGAGGTGCTATTTAGGAAGGGTTAGGGATACTTGGTTTAACTCTTAACAATCCAATAGTATCTGAAAGACATGTTTTTAAAATGTAAACGTAGTGAATTAAAAGTGCTGGATTGTTAAAGGTTAGTCCTTACTCTGTGGGATTATTGATGGCTGAGGGATATTGATCCATTGGTAATGTATGCAGAGTGATGGTGGAAAAAATAAAAAATTCCGATCGTCAAGAAATGTTCCATGTATCGTCACTCAAGTGATAAAGTAGGTAGGTCTATTGTGGTAGAAAAATGCAGTCAGCGGATTGACTAGATCTATCTTGTCACTAACAACAATCGAAATATCCAAGAAAAATGTCCAAAAACTCCAAACGTTCTAACTGCAATGAATACTTTACTTAACTACACGTTTCTGAATTAATACTTCCGTGAGAATTTTATCGTACTCAGATGAACAGTTTCGCTATTATTGATTTGCTTCCAGCCTTTTCAGACACCCTGTTTGGTCCCACGGAGAATGGCACCATATTGCTGCAGCGTTAATACCGGCCGAGAAAATTCAATTTGGCCGTCCGACACAAGCGACTAGTTACTTTCATCCCCTCGTTGTCCCTCGAATCAAATATTTATCACCGATTACCGTTGTGGATACGCGACGACCCGTTCGTGGCACCGTAAATATATCCGGCACGCGTCGCACGTGATTCCAAAAACTCATTTAAAGCCTTCACACCGCGAAAGATCCGAGGGATGATCCCGGGGGAATCTCCGTTCCCGGATGAACGTCGGCTGTTTTTGTATTCCTGCCATCGTCGCAGGAAATTCGGTACACGTTCCGGACGATGAAATCGATCTTCTACCCCGTCGACCACGGGGGTGGTATTGCTGCAGCGTAATGGAAACGTCAGAAGTTTATGGTTCCCGTTGTTTTGATACGATCGCGAAAAATAACCCCATGCATCAACGTTCGCCATCAATTTCCCGCGCTTGGCCATGTGAATGTTAATCCGGTAAAGCTTATGTTGGTTGGATTTCGTTCGTTCCTTACGATGTTTTCCATCATCGTTAGCAAATGTTTTCTGATGTTATATTTAGCTTTTAATAATGTTATCCGATTTTTATTAGAACTCCTTATTGGAAAGTTTACTGTGATTTTATTGTTGTAGGTGTAGCTTCGAAAGTTAAGGAGAGACTTTATCGATAATTATTTAGATTTAATGATCACACACTTCATGAATATGTCACAAATGTTACCCAAAATGGAAATTTTCTTACGATGTAATACTCTTATG